AACTGGAAGAATTTAGAGAACGCTATTTTCATACTGTTAATTGAAAATTACGTCAAGTACTGTCACGTGTGGAGAAATTGTTTTTATGGTTGTGTTGATGAATTCAACAATCTTCTCTCTAAACTTAACAACGTTGAACCTACAATAGACTTCAATTTTGAAACTGAAACCAATTACACTTTTCCGTTCCTAGACATCATATTACATAGAAATAATAACGAACACAATTTTGACGTTTACAGAAAGGCTACAAACAAAAATGATCTGATCAGTTTCTACTCAGACCACTCTTCTAAAGTTAAATCTGGAATTATTATAGGTTTCTATCTGAGAAAATTAAGAATCTGCAGTCCCCAATATTTACTTAAATAAGAAACATACATAAAAAACACATTCAAAAACCTGCAATATCCATATAATTACATTCACAACGCAAGAAGAAAGACATACAAAATATACAACCGAAACAAAAATAATAACATAATCCGCAATAATAAATTACATGAAAACAGATGCATAATACTACCGAGCAACTATGTCACATCCACTATCCAGAATAACCTATCCCATCTAAATAATCTTAAAATAATCACAAATACAAACCATTATGGATATACTCAGATCCTCAAACACTAATAGCAATAATATTTCTGAAGCAGGCATTTATAAAATAAATTACCAAAACTGTTCCTCCCAATATATTGGAGAAACAAGTAGAAATTTAAAAAAAAACGCATTTATGAGCACAAAAGAGACCTCACAAAAAACAACTTAGCTAATGCACTAATCATACATAGAAATAAATTCAACCACAATTTTGATTTTAAAAGCGCTACACTCATAAAAAAAGAAAATAACTCACTCAGAAGGAAAATCCTCGAGAGTGCCACCATTGAATATTATCCAAATATTAATCTATGCTCAGGCCTTTTCCCTATTTCACCTTTCTTAACAGAATTACTACTCTCCCAAACAAACGTACACAACAGTATCAAGAAATCAAAAGAAAATGGTTGAATCCGTCAACACAACAATAAAAACAATATCTCCACACGTGACAGTACTTGACGTAATTTTCAGTTAACAGTATGAAAATAGCGTTCTCTCTCTCTCTCTTTCTCTCTCTCTCTCTCTCTCTCTCTATATATATATATATATATATATATATATATCACTAAAGTTCTTACAACACAAAGCAGAGAGTTACTGAATAAGGTGTGTGATATGAATGTAAGAAGAGGTAGAAAGAATTGAAGATTATGAGGATAAGGAGGATAGACTACTGACTTGAAGAGGTTAAGATTGTAGTATTCAGGGAACCACAAAGTTGCAATTCTTGGGAAAAACTGTCTGAGTGGAACTTCCTCCATATAAATGGAATACAGAGGAAATGTAGATGATTTAACTCCGCGGATGTAGCATGGCGAATCCTAACTATTTGACCATTTCGTTGATAGTAACACAAAAACTAATTTAAAACGTTCAACACAAATTTCCTGCTTCGTGATTGAAGTAGTTTCGTATTCCTCACTTCTGCTAAGATTTGGTGTTCGAGAACTGGTAAAAGCAAGAAATTCGTATGCCAATTTTCAAACACAGGTGGACCCTTCCTCCTTAAAACGTAATACACACTGTTTAAAATTTAAAAAAATAGGGCTTCTATTAAAAAAAAGAAAAAAAACAAAAAAACAAAACAAAACGCGTGTCCACTAAAGATAACATTTGAAGTAATAAAAATGTTATATTAAATATAAATCCATTAATTCTTTAGAAATTGCTTTGCTTACGTTTCTGATACGAAACTGAGTAGAAAATGTTTTCAAGGGTGTGCTTTCCTTAAAAAGGGGAAATAGAGTATTGCTGAGCTGTGACGTTATTCATGGCCGAGCGGTAAATCACCCCCAGATCAAATGGTGGTTTTTCTCTATAAAGAAAGACAAAAGTTCGATCCCTGCCGGAGAATACATTTTCTTTATTAAGATTTTCCGAATTTGTGCAGGCCGATAGAAGTGATATACACTGTTTAAAATAAAAATGGAGCGTCTATTTCCAATACGAATGCTCACTATAATCAATTTTGAAATAATATATATATATTTTTTTGATTTATCGGGAAAGATATGTGTTAAAAAGCACTATTCGGGCATTGTTTGATCAGGAGGTCCTACGTGATCGAGAGGTTAAATCACGTCAGATCTAATGACGGGACTAAGTTTGAATACTGATTTCTCGAATATTTTTTCCAGATTTCTCGAATATTCAGGCCGGTAGATGTAAATAAATAAATATACTGTTTAATAATAAAAACGGAGCATCGACTCAAATATGAGTATCCATTAAAAATAATGTTTAAACAAATAAATTAAAATATGTCAGAATCCTTCGATTTTTAAATATATATATATATATATATATATATATATATATATATATATATATATATATATAAGAGGAAGAGGTTATAGTAGTTCCAACGAGAGAAAAGTGTGTATATAAAAAGAGAGAAACCGCAAACGTTTTTGGTTGTTATGCTTTATTTTCAAAGCATAATATTAAAAAAAAAAATCCACATTACAATCAAAAACGTTTGCGCTTTCTCTCTTCTTTTTAATATATATATATATATATATATATATATATATATATATATATATATATATATATATATGGTTTGGCGCACCATCCGCGGTTTTCAGGTGTCCGGTGAGTTTCTTTGTACGTATGTCGATTTTTAAAGCCTACTTGAAGATTGATGCAATGAATTTTAAAAACAAACTCTACGTAATTCGAAGAGAAGCTATTAAAGAAATGCATCAACAGTCTCAGACTGTTAACGATTACAAAGCAAATTCTGAAGATAAGAGAAAAATAAAACAATAAACACGGTTGAACGAAATAGTATGAAGAAAAACTCTGATTAGGCCTTAGAAAGCACATAATTATTCCAGTAAACATTTTATTTCATATATTATTTAAATATAGTTGCCATCTTCTTCGAAATAGTCCTTTTGGAAACGTATACGGTGATCCTAGTTTTTTTTTTTTCCAAAAATTCTATTTCTGAATGACGTCCAAGTCCGTAGGCTCCATAACTGTTTCCAGTTGTGTGAAACATCTGACAGTTTTCGTAGATGAGTTCAAATATTAGTTCCATATTTTCTGGTCCTTTGTTCGTGATTAATCGATATGAACGCTCATCATTTTGAACCAACACTCGATATGCCGCGAAACGCGCGTGCCACTCAAAAACCCGTGTTTCGGCGTAAATTAATATTCGCCGAAATCCTAACGAAGCATTTGCAGGGTCTCAGTAGTAGATTCGCTGAGCATCACGAAAATCCGTTACAGACACATTACTCAAAATTGCCAGCCATCGTAAAGCTCGCAGAGCCGTTATCGAACACAACATTATAAAATCACGAAAATTGAATACGAGATGATAGCACCAGATTTATCGGCAAAATGAATTATTCATCAGGATAACCATGAACGTTAACTGCACGTGTATTTCCGTTAAATGATTCAATCATAGCATGTACTTTCTAGAGCACTTCGACGTGTATCAATTATGACTGAATACTGAGTTCGATCCTCACTGGGTGCAGCATACATTCGACCTTGTGCCACATTTAAGCTACGCTTAGAAAACTACCACTGGGTTAGCAAACATACCTCGCTAGATCAATTGCGACTGAATAGTGAGTTCGAGCGTCAAAGGTGCTCCATAATTTCAGCCCTGTGCCACATATAACCTACGCTTAGTAAATAATTATCTAGATACATTTACGTCATTTGCCTGCATTTGCTAGCTTGTGTGTTCATTAATATCTAATTTTATTGAACGCTTCGACGTGGTGTAATGTTCAGCAAGCTTGTGTCGCTAGATCAATTACAACTAAATAGAGAGTTTGTTCTCATTGGGTGCTCTATACATTCGGCCTTGTACCACATCCAAGCTACGCTTAGAAAACCAGCATTGGGCACTTCGATGTGGTAAAATGGTTACCAAGTTCGTCTCGCTATATCAATTACGATTGAATAGTGAGTTCAATCGTCGCTGGGTGTTCCATACTTTCGGTCTTGTGCCACACCTAAGCTACGCTTAGAAAATCACTATAGCACGTAGTTTCTGATTTAACTCCCTATTTTTGTACACTAGCAATAATGAACCACGGATTGAAGGAGGTCAATAATTAATGCCAGTTTTATTGACAGAACCGGGATATGGTAGGTTGGAAGTTAGGAGTATGAAAAATTTCAATTTTAAAAATTTGAAATTCTACACAGCTAAAAACTGTTTTCCACTGGAAGATTTTGAAATTCATATCTATTGTAAAATTACTAGCGATATATTTATATATATCGCTAGTAATTTTACAATAGATATGAATTTCAAATAATTTTTACTATAGAAAAGCATCAAAATGTTTTACTCTAGAAATGCATAAACATCAGAAAATGTTTGTTGGGACAGGAATTACGTTAAACATTACTGACAGAATGCAGTATAAGGTAATAATATTTTTTTCTAATGATTTTAATGACTGATTCGTTTTTTACGGCTTATCAACCCTTTGCAGGTTATTTAAAGCCAGAAAATAGAAGGCAAGTAGATATGATTAAAGGAGACGTTGATAAAGATTTGAAACAGAAAGGAGGATAGACATGTGGAAATTGGGATAGAAAGATAAGAATAACCCAAGTCGATAGATAGATATGAAGATTTCATTGATTGATTGATTCATTTTCTACAGCTTATCAACCCTTTGCGGGTTATTTAAAGCCAGAAAATATATGTAGATTGTAAGAATTTTGGGGGTAGATAATAATAGTTTAGTGATAGAAGTATTACTAATTAACCCATTGTTAGAGGGGAAAGAGGTAAATTCATAGCTTTCCCCAAGGATATTTGCGCGTAAGTAAATATAACGAACCTAACAAGAATTGGAACTCGGCTCTCTGATAACAACCCCGAGACATTATCTATTGCACATCCAAGCTTACAGAACATGGTATTCCCAAACGGTTACCCATCTAGGTACTGACCAAATTCGACGTTGCTTAACTTCGGTGATTATATGGGAACCGGTGTTAAACCATAATGATTTTACGACAGAAACATTGCAAATAATTTTGCTACAGAAATGATTTCAGTAGACAAATGTATTGAAAATTATAAAATATACGGTTATTAAATATATTTGATGACGTTTTTTATTTAATCTAAAGAAAATGGCATGTTAGGAATTAATAAAATATCTCACGGCAAGAGAAACTTCAAGAATCTCTTTTAATTCCACAAATTTCTCTTACTTTAGGATAAAAATTGTTCACACCAGGTCTGGAACTTTATAATACCGCCCACTTGCAGGGGTCAATGTATTTACGTGCGAAAGATGTGTAATTTTCAGAGTATAAATGTTTTTACACCCCATGCTCTCTATCTTTGACAATTACTCATACATCTTCACTCAAGCCTCGTTGTTCAGAACTTTGAGGTCTGTTAAAGAAATTTCCTGAATGAAGAGATTCGTGTGTGTATGTACGGATTGTTTTACTTGCCATTCATAAAAGACCTCCCATCTTGAACTTTATTTTTTTTAGAACGTCTTTCTTTTTTATTTGTACCGTTTCTTTCTTTCTTTCTTTTTTTCTTTCTTTCTTTCTTTCTTTCTTCGTTGCATCGTCCTTGTATTTATGTTCAGTGCTTGCTTGCATCATTTTATTTTACTTACTTTGTTTTTATTGCATATTTCTTTCTGGTATTTAGCAGAATACCATTTGCTTGCAACATTTCTTTCTTTTTCCTTCACATTTCACATTTTTTTTATTTTCAGTTTTCTATCTATGCAGCTTTCTTGCGTTTAGTTTTGCTTTTTATTCTATATTTGGGAGATTTTTCTTTTCGTTAATTTTTTTGCACCGTTCTTTGCATTTTCCTTTTTTTCTTTGAGTATTTCTTTTATCTTTCCGATATCATTTTTATCTTTCTCTTTTCCTTGCATCTTGCATTCTTTCTTGTGATCATTCTTTCTTTCTTTCGTATTTTCTTTCTTTTCAGTTTGCTATCTGTACAGCTTTCTTGCGTTTATCATTTTTGCATCAATTTATCTTTGGGACATTTTTTTCATCTTTTTTTTTTTCGTCGTTCTTACTTTTCATTTTCTTTTTTTAATTGAGTTTTTCTTTTTTTCTTTCTTTCTTTCTTTCTTTCTTTCTTTCTTACACCATATTTTTATCTTTCTAATTTCTATACATCCGTCCGTCTTTCTCTTTTTTTTCATCTTTTTGTAATCTTTGTTTGTTTGTTTGTTTGTTTGTTTCTTTCTTTCTTTCTTACACCATATTTTTATCTTTCTAATTTCTATGCATCCGTCCGTCTTTCTCCTTTTTTTGCATCTTTTTGTAATCTTTGTTTGTTTGTTTGTTTGTTTCTTTCTTTCTTTCTTTCTTTCGTTCTTTCTTTCTTTTGTTTTTTACATCATTTTTTATCTTTCTTCTTTCTATGCATCCGTCCGTCTTTCTCTTTTGTTTGCATCTTTTTCCGATCTTTCTTTCTTTCTTTCTTTCGTTTTTTGCATCGTTCATTCTTTACATCTTTTCCTTTTTTCTTTGCATATTCCTTTTATCATTCTGTTTTTTTTTTGTTACATCCTTCTTATATTTCTCTTTTCTTTGCATCTTTCTTTCTTTTCCGACTTATTTATTTATGACAAGTTTCGCTCGTGCAAACAAGCCTTGTCTGTCCTCATCTAACGTAATGACCCTATACGGAAGTTTTATTCTATTTTTTATTTGTTTACTTTCTAGTTGATGGCTGCAGATACCTTGCTTAGTTGTCGGAACCTGAGCTCATCCACATGGGCCAACCAGCCGGCAAAAGAAAACATGATTTGACCTGACACTTTTAGGATGTAAATCTACTAAAAATCTAAAGCAGATTTAAATGAGTGTTGTTCACTCCTGGCTTAATACGTACGTTTATGCACCTATTCTCATCGTAACATATTGCATATTGACTATTTCAACAATTCATTTCTTTCTTTCTTTCTTTCTTTCTTTCTTTCTTTCTTTCTCAATATCACATTACAGATGAATGTGTACACACATACACACGAAGCAATAGCACATGTACGTATACACAAATAATAACACCTCAATTTCAGTCTCATTCTGCTATGAAATGTAAATACGCATATAATTTGTTTTCATCAAAAGATCACTTAACTGTCCTTTCTAGATATTTCCAATGAACATATATATATATATATATATATATATATATATATATATATATATATATATATATATATATGTATATTTTTCCAGCGTTCTTACATTTTACCGTTCGCTGAAAGTGAGTGAGTACACAGAATATATCGTCCATTGTCCCAAGCGCATCCGGTCACATTTCAAGGGGTGTGTTTTGGTGTTGTTGAGCATGAAAATATACTAACACCAAAAACAAATACCCTCGCTCACTCACTCTCCCCAAACGGAAAAAAAATTTAAGAACCATGAAATAACTAAATAAAAAATTAACTAAATTTTCCGTGTCCAACATATTTAAGGAAAGATGTTTAAAAGAAAGGGTGCTGCTCAAATACATTAATATAGCTAGCTAGCGAGATAGATAGATAGATAGATAGATAGGGTATATTTAGGCAACAAGTATTAAGGTGTTAAGTATTGTGCTCGAAATTGTAGATAATTTCGGACAGTTTATGCACAGTTTCGCGGACAATACTCAACACCAAAAATTGGAAAAATACAATAAAAGATTAAACAGACAGACCTTGTCAGTTCTTTTTAATCAAAGCTGTTTGTATATATATATATATATATATATATATATATATATATATATATATATATATATATAAATTTTGAATTAATTTATTGTCTTGAAACCGCAAGGTCTGACGAAGGAAATCGAATTTTATCGGTCTCGCGAAATAAAATATGACCATGGTTTTCTGAAGTGTCCGATTTGTTAATTAATTATTACTTATTTATTATATTGAGCTCTAGGGATTTATATCTTCCCTGGAATTATTCATACGGATTACCAATTAACTTTATCATATATATATATATATATATATATATATATATATATATATATCCAGATACAATGAGAACGAATAGAGTACTCTTTCAACGTTCGTATCATTTAATTTAACAGTTATTAATTTATTAAAAGTTATTGTTATGCGTTGTAACACGACTGCAATTGTGTAGCTATTCTTACATGCTTTTGTTGTAACATACTTTATATATATATATATATATATATATATATATATATATATATATATATATAAGTGTATAAGCATGGTGGCCAAAAGTTGGTAAAAAAGTTACATCTCCTTTTTTGTGGAGATATGGAAGGCAGGCTATGCCCCACAGGATTATAAAGACGCTCTATCAAACACCTCTACAAAAACAAGGGTTCCAGGCGTGTCTGTGATAATCATCGGGGTATATCACTACTTTCGATTGCAGGCAATATCCTAGCGAGACTGATTCTAGAACAGAATCATTATACACCTTGTTGACAACATCTATCCTGAATCGCAGTGTGGTTTTCGGTCGGGTCTGGACACCATTGACATGATATTTTCTCTTCGTCAAGTTGCAGAGAAGGTTCGCGAGAAAAACCAGGAGTTATACATGGTATTTGTGGATTGACAAAGGCCTTCGACACTGTGAATCGAGAGGCTCTTTGGCAAGTCTTGAAGAAACTCGGTATCCCTGAAAACATGCTAAAGGTCATCATCTCCTTTCATGAAGGAATGAAAGCTAATATCGTGTCTGATGGTATGATGTCGGAATCCTTTAATGTCATAAATGGCACCAAGCAAGGTTATGTCATGGCCCCTGTCCTTTTTGCCATTTTCTTCTCGATAATGCTGAAATATGCATTTGCAGACACAGAGAGTGGCATCAAGTTTCAGTTTCGAACAACTGGTGGTCTCTTCAATCATCAGCGTTTCAAAGCCAAGACCCACCTTCGTACGCATATTATTCGTGATTTGTTGTTTGCTGATGATGTGGCTCTTGTAGCGACATCATTTGAGGAGGCCCAACATCTAATAAATCGTTTCTCTGCTGCATGTAAAGCATTTGGTCTTACACTTAGCATAAAGAAAACTGAAGTTGTGCACCAACCTTGTCCTACTCCGAAGCAATTGCGTGGTAAGAAACAAAAACCATCAGTGTACAAATTTCCAGAGACCATTGAAAGTTGAAGACAAACCCCTGAACTGTGTAAAGTCTTTTACCTATCTTGGTAGCAAAGTCAATTACAGTGGAACTTTAGATGATGAAATCATGCATCGGATTGCTAAGGCTACCAGTGCTTTCGGCAAACTTCGCCATCGCTTGTGGAATGAGCGGGGTATTCGACGGGATACGAAAATTCAGGTTTACAGAGCTGTTGTACTTGCCATCCTTTTGTATGGCTCAGAGTCGTGGACCCCATACAGGTACCATATATGCCATCTAGATGTTTTGCATAAAAGCTGTCTGCGTGCAATCTGTGGAGTTAAGTTTCAAGATAGGACATCTAGCGTAGACCTGTTTAACAGGTGTAATATTGGAGAAATCGAGACTTTTATCATACAGTCTCAGTTACGGTGGAGTGGTCATGTCTTGAGAATGTCTGATGACAGGATACCCAAGATCCTAATGTACAGCCAGTTAGATCAGGGCTACAGGAATGTAGGACGCCCATGGCTAAGATACAAAGACAAGCTGAAAAGCAACCTGTCAGCAGTCAATATACCACATAACACCCTTGAGCGCTTAGTTTTGGAGCGAGTAGAATGGAGATCAACGTGTTTTAGTGGACTCGGCAATTTTCAATCTGCTTGTCTGAATCATCTTTAAGAAACGAGAGCAAGATCTAAAAGGTCAACTAATCTAACAGTGATCTCATTTCACAATCCTCACACTTGCTCCATATGTGGCCTCCTTTGTAAATCACTAGCAGGTCTTAAATGCCACTTAATATTATCGCACAAACTTTCATAACTGAATCAATAAGCTGTCAGATCCTCATACGTCGAAACCGACGGTAGAGTCCATTATAT